TCACAGGAGTAACGTCCTGCATACAAAACCCTAAACCCTAAACCCTAAACCCTAAACCCTGAACGCTTGGTCCCACCGCCTGCGCTGCCGGGCCCCCCGCCGCAGGCTTGGAGGCGACGGTGCTGGCGCTCGAAGCCCCTCGCGGCTCTCCACCACCCTCAAACCCTAAACCCTAAACCCTAAACCCTCGGACCTCGTCGGCGGCCTGGTCCGGGAAGTTGTCCTTGGGGTCCATTGCGTAAATGCACAATTCTTTGTCTCCAATTTTCGCCAAGTACTTTTCATCATGAGAAAATAAAAAGTGAGGAAATTCAGTGCCTCTTGGAGTGGCTGCGGGCGTGGCGAACTGCCGCAGCATCTCACCTGCACGTGAACCCTAAACCCTAACCCTAAACCCTAAACCCTAACCCTGGTTTCTTGCCCCGCGGCCCCGCAGCGCACGAACGCGACGCCGGTTCGCCGCTGTGGCGCACGGCCTGCACCCTAGGGCTCAGACTCCGGGGTTTACGCGTTAGGGTTTAGGGTTTAGGGTTTAGGGTTTAGAAGCGCCGACCCGTCATCACGTTCCATGTCTTAAACGCCTTTTCGTTTCGCATTGATGCTGGGGTTCCATCCCAAGAGAGCATGTAAGTCTCTTTCGGGGAGAACATGATCTGCATGCAAACCCTAAACCCTAACCCTAAACCCTAAACCCTAAACCCTAGTGATGGACGTCTCTGCCTAGTACGCCAATAAGACCCCAATCAAAAACGGGAAATCCCCCGGTCCTAGAAAGATGCATTACATTGGCATCGCACTCTAAACCCTAGACCCTAAACCCCAAACCCTAAACCCTGGACGAACCTGCTTGACTTCCTTGTGCTCCAGCCGCGCCTTCTTCTCGAAGTTCCTGCCGGCCCACAGGGCAATACCTGAGAGTCCAGCCGGCCCAGGCCCAAAACCCTAAACCCTAAACCCTAAACCCTCGCCCGTGCTCCCGAAGCCCAAGCAGCGGAGCCCACACCCGCAACCCCCGCCCTTGGCGGCGCATCCTCTCGCACGCTCTCAAAACCCAAAACCCAAAACCCTAGCCCCAAACCCTCGACCCCCCCCCAAACCCCAAACCCCAAACCCTAAACCCTCGACCCCGGCCAAACCCCAAACCCTAAACCCCCGGCCCCCGGCCAAACCCCAAAGCCCAGACCCTAAACCCTCGACCCGCGCCGAAACCCCAAACCCTAAACCCTCGACCCCGCCGAAACCCCAAACCCTAAACCCTCGACCCCGCCAAAACCCCAAACCCTAAACCCCCGCACCCTGTCTGTGGAAGGTGGCGAGGAAGGAGCCCTGGGGGGACCACTGGACCTTGAGTTCGGTCCAAACCGCCTTTCCGTCTTGCTTTTCTTTTTGGCCATCGTAGCAAAGAGTGCAAGGGTTTCCCTCGAGAGGGTCTAGCCAGTAAACCTCCGTTTCGGAGTCGAAGCGCAGCACGAACTGTTCGCGAAACCGCGCGTCGCTCAGCCACCAACGCACGTCCTCCCGCGTAAACCCTGCGAAACCCTAAACCCTAAACCCTAAACCCTAAACCCTACGGCGCACGGGGGGCGCGGCTGCGGGGGGAGCGGGCGGGGCGCGGGCGCCGCCGCCGCTGGCGCGAGGCGAGCGGCGCTGCGCGGGGGAGAGCGCCCAGGGTCCAGGGTCCAGGGTTTAGGGTTTAGGGTTTAGGGTTTGGCGGACCGCGGAGCGTGATGGCGGGCTTGTAGTCCTTGTCTCTGGCGACAATCTCGTCGAACTCGTCAAGAAGAGCTGCTCGAAAAGTATGTCTTTTGTCGATCTTGTATCCGTTGAGGGCCCTGGCTGCATGCTGAGCTGCATATACACTCGGAAATGTCAAAAAACAACAACCCCGAGTTAGGGTTTTGTCGGAGTTCATCGGAAGTTCAATCAAGAAGGAACCCTCGACGTCTTCGCCGCCCTTGCGAGACAACTCGTCCGCTATCTTCTTCCGCAGCACCGCCGTCAGCTTCTCCAGCCGGTCCGCGCCCACCTTCGCGCAAACCCTAAACCCTAAACCCTAAACCCTAAACCCTACGCGCTGCGCGCAGGCCCGAACGCCTGACCCCGCGGCTGGTCAGGTCCCAACTGCCAAGCACGCCTTCGCAGAGACGCAGCGGCCGCAGAAACGCATCGACAACTAATCCTAAACCCTAAACCCTAAACCCTAAACCCTAAACCCTACCAGCGGGACTCCAACCATGATCACTGTGTCTGGGAATCGGTCGTCCATCTGCAGCAGAGGCTCAAAAGCCTCCAGCTTTTTTGTAAGAGCTTCTTCGTCTTCATCGCTGTCATCTGAAATGTATTTCAGAAGCTCTTCCTGCTCCTCCTCTGCAGCCAAACCCCAAATCCTAAACCCTAGACCCTAAACCCTAAACCCCAGCTTTCAAGACACCGGGGGTCTGCGCCAAACCACTGAGGCCCCCCGATCTCCAGGGAGGAAAAGCAGGCGGTTTCCATGGCTCTTAGGGATTTAGAGCGACTCCTAAACCCTAAAACCTAAACCCTTGACTCCAAACCCTAAACCCTTGCGAGGGCCCTCCCTAGCCACTGGCGTACCCTTGATCTCCAACTTCTCCAAATCCTCCTTCGTTACTTTTACCATTTTCTCAGGGTTTTCAGCTCCAAAAACATGAAAAAACGCTAAACCCTAAACCCTAAACCCTAGGCCCGAAACGCTGCGCGCATGCAGCGAGGGCCGACCGTTCCTTCTCTCGGGAGAGGCCCCGTCTAGGGTTTAGGAGTCGCGGAGAATGAGACTTCAGGAAGTCGCAGCCAGAAAAAGCTGCATTTGCTGGAGGCTCTGCAGCGCAGGCCGTGCTGCTGAGGGTTTAGGGTTTAGGGTTTAGGGTTTGGGGTTCGGTCGGGGGGCTGTGGGGAGATGTGTCTGTGCGCGGCAGGAGAAAGAAATGCATTTAGGGTCACCCCTAAGCACACCCCAGTCCTGGCGTAAAGCAGAAGATGAGCAACAGCGGCAGCAGCAGCAGCAGCAAAAGAAAGCCTCTGGCGCTGGCTGCGCTCCAGCAGCTGCTGCTGCAGCAGAGCCCCAAGCCAGCCCCAGCGCCGGCTGCAGACTCTTTGGCGTTTTTTTCCTACTTAATTTGTTTTAAATGCAATAAATTTATTATTTCCAAGTATTTTTAATGTCTAAACTCCCCCGGAGGATCCCAAATCCCGGGAAACCGGCCCCCGGAAACCCTCCACGGGAAGCAACAAGCGAAAACGATTCTTGTTCTCATTTCCTGGAAATCCTTTCTTGTTATTGTTTCCTGAAAATGATTTCTCGTTTTTATTTGAGTCTGTGACCCCCCATTGTCTGCAAATAATTGGCTTTTGCAGCAGAAGCCCTGAGGAGGGGCTCAGGTCCTTCTATCTGTCTTTCAATTTCTTCTGAATTTGAATTTTTGACGCTTTGCAACGCATGCATCTGTGCACATTTCTGTTGCTTCTATTTGCCTTTCCGGGGGGCGTAAGCTGGAGAATCAGCAGCCTCTTTCTTGATAAAGATGAAAAGATGGGGGGCATTTAACTTTGACTAGCCCTGTCACTTTACAATAAAAATTGCAAAAAGAACGAATTTACGAAGAAACAAAGAGGCTTAGTGCCACCACTAAAGTAGCATCTATTCCGTGAGACCCAAAGGGGCGCTTTCAGACAAAGTCTTCTAGCATTTGCTTTCAATTGAATCCCTCTTCACAGCATCAGCAGCAAATGCCGAAGTTTGTTTTGCTGCTACTTTGAAAAGTCTCTTGTTATGTGGGGGCAGCAACTTTCGAGTGAAAATGAGAATGCTGTTCAATGTTTATTGCTGCGCTTCTTCTTTTGTCTGTGGCTGCTTCCTGTGCGTAAGAAAGTCTGGGGCTTGCCAATTTTGCTGAGGTCCGGGAAAGTCACAAATTTGAGGAAGTAATTTTTAAAAAGCACAAACAATTTCAGAGAGCGAAAGAGTCACTGGAATAAGATATACGAGAAATACCACTCCCAAGTCAAGGGAAAAACATGCTTCCAAAATTGGAAGCTCTGCCATGCGGCGCAGTCAGTGGGAAAGAATTGTGTTGTTTCTTCTTTCATTGCAAGCTGGAATTGTTCAAAACCTACTAAAAGCCTTTTTTAGGCACTCCCGGGCTGCAATGGGCTTTCTATTCGCAAAAAGTCTGGTTGCACCCTCCGCTTCAGAATGGGCCTCAGTGATGCACTTGACAATCTAGCATGAGCGCAGCCCTAAAGTCAAATGAAATGAAAGCGGTTTTCGGAAAGCTTTGGGGTGAATAAACCAGCTTTTAGTGTTTTATGAGAGACCCTAAATCTGTGTAGAGAGGCGACTAGCCAGTTTCTAGGTAGATTGCCCATTCTTCTTACCAGCCTCGCAGCAGAGTGTGATAAAGCTGGTGGGCTGGGCCACATTTACTTGCAGCATAAATTGTTGTCTTCAGATCCTTTTCCTGCGGAAGTTCGGAGGATGATTATGTAAGCTTGAAGTTGTGCGCCAGCAAATTCAAGTGCAGCTGCCTCAGCCCCCGATCGATAGGGGCTCCTCCAGCTGCGCATTTCACGTTTCTTCCCGGAGCATTCTCAACTCGTGGAAGAGAGAAGCTCATTTCTTTCGAAAGCCAGACAGACACAATGTGGCCGACCCCGTTGCGTAACTAGCATGTTTGCAGTGGAAGCGTTCACCGAGCAGGGGTGGACAGCCCTCGCTCCAACAATGATGCATGATTGGCTTATCAGTGCCAATTTTGGTTATTAAAATGCCTTCCGAAAGGGCTCGAATGACCCTGCAGAAGCAGGCTTGGCTTGGGAAATTAGAACTACCCAGCAGGCCTGAGAGCAGCTGATGGAAGTAAGAGCACAGAAAATTAGCGTCTATAGCCTTGGTGGCGAATTTCCTACACTCGCAGTGTTTGGGTAGCTACATGAGAACAGTTATGCAATCTTCATTCTGGATGCTTCTTGTGTTCATGCACGTAAAGGTGTTACGGCGCCAGAGAATTGTTGGGCACGGCACAGAGAATTGTTGGGCATGGCACATATAGCATTAGACCCTGTCTCAGTTCTCGTGTTACTTACTTCCTGATGTACGATACTGGAATCTCTTAAAGACGGAAATGTCGCTCATGCGACTAGATCGTCCCACTCTCTTTGTTTGATCTTGGTACGTGTTTGTGAACTGTGATTCATGAGCACGGATCCTTCAACAGTTCGTCTGAAGTTAATCATTTGACCTTTCATTCATTCAAACCAGCGCAACATAGGCTGAATGCGTGTCGTAGCAGTTGAAGTCCCTCATGGTGTGCAAGATACATATTAACTTAGCCAGTGAGATGGCATTTATTCCCAATATTAATCCTAGCTTGAGGGAAATTGTGAAAACTTTCAATATCTAGTCCGCGTTATCATAAAGATAGATTTCGTGTTCGTTAATCAAGAAATATCGTACGATCCTGCATATTTTGCTAGAATTAGACATATCATCAGACTGAACGGGACTTCCTTCAAATAGCTCGTGATTGACTGTGACAGGCATTGACACGTCTCCATGGCAATAATGATGCTTGCAGTAACAGATATTCAACATTCTACGACAGCCCGTGTCGCGGAGGCCCAAAACAAAGAAAATGTTCCTCATCTCCTGCCCTGAGGAGGCAAGCCAAGCTCTCTCGTCTTCTTTCACCGAAGCGCATCACATGCAGATAATAGACAGGCGGTAGGCTTCCACGCCTGCTGCACGCAAATATTAGAGGCTTCTCATCTCGGGGTGAGGGTCCGTCTCGCGGCAGGCGGAGAAAAAATAAGGACCATCGCCATAAAATATCAGGAGGCAATTTCCTTGAAGTCAATCCTGGCCTCCGGTCACCCTACGCTCATCAGCTGCTAGTCACCAAGGCAGTAGCTAGAGTAGGCAAGTCTCGGTATTAGTACTGAGAAAGGCGGCGATCCACCTGCCCTCGTACAGGGGAAAATGAAACGATAAGGGGAATTAATTCTAGAGCCGTTTGAGCAAATATGGAGGCTCAAAACTGGATGTGACATATGTGCTAGCGCTCGCCAGACCACTTAAAAATGTTCTTTAGATCAAAAGGCATATTACGTTCTATTAAATTATGCAATAAACATTTTTATACTGATAAAAGTTCAACTAACCGGTAGTAATTTGCTTATTATTCGCTCCTGGTGAAACGGATGAAAATTTCTCCATGAGCAGATGAGAATTTCTTCGTGTACCTTTAGCGACGACCATGTAATAATCAACTACCTATCGATCAGTCGAATCATCATTGATTTTGAAATGCTGATTACAAAGTAAGTCACGAACACTCCTCACCGTCCGCGGCTGGTCGTTTTTTCAACGTACTCGCTCTTATTTTCCAGAAATTCTACTCATTATGTATTTAGGGAGTATCATCTGGGATTTGTCTTCCACTCATTATGTATTTAGAGAGTCTCATCGGGGATTTGTGGAATCCGTGTTAGAGGATTCAGACTCCAGGATGCCCATAGTTTCGTTGTTGCGCAATAAAGCTCTTTAAGGCTTTTTCTACCCAAAAAGTTGTACGTATATGCTAAAACGCACATTTTCGCTTGCACTAAAAGTGGCACGCTTCAACCAAGTAAAGATAACCAATGTTTAGAACAATGGAGACTCGTCAGCATTATATTAACATGTATCTAATCGTTTTCTGATTTCTAACTCTACCAATTCTGAGAATTTCGTTCGAGGGTCCATACCGCATGCAACCAAGCACGCAGCTCCCGTAGAACGCAAGAAGCACTTCCTGCTAGGCACCGCAGTAACAGTCGCGACTTCTGGATTTCATCCCAAGCACGATCAGTGCTTAAAGATTGTCTAATGCTGCTTCAGGAATCCCTAACAGTGCTCCAGAATTGCTTAAATTCTAGTGCGTAGCACTGCAATGTTGCACCAGCATAGCCCCACGGAGTTGTAAGATTCGTTACTCTACAGATGAAGCACTATGAGAGAGTGTATAGCTAGAGGAACTTAGCTCTTGCCGCCAATGTAGCCTAAAGTGCTTGGCTGGAAGGCCAGGGGTTGGGGCTCGCTGTGTCACTGGTGCAGCGTGGGGAACACCTGCATACCCAAGGAAACCGAAGGCCTCAGGAAGGCCAGACTGGAAACAGAGTTGAATCTTTCGCTTTTTAAAGGAGCTATTTGGGCTTCTTTGGCCCTTCTGGGTTTGAAAGTACTTGTGGAGCTTGAAGGAAACACGTAGGAGTCAGACGAAGCCCCTTTCATTACGTAAATGGTAACCTTCGCTCCTGACTGAAAGCCCAGTAACACTTGACAGTGGGGGCGCGGCTGATCCCCCACATCCCTTTGCTACGTTATCTCTTTGGGGTTTTCACCCCTGCATCTGCTTTCCCTCCGTCGCACACCCTCTTGGCTGTCGGTGGCTGGCCATTTATTGAACAAATCGTTCAGACTTTTCTAAGTTTTAGCCACATTGCATGCAGGGGAGCCTGAAGGCCAGTAGGGCCAGCCTGTGGAGCCTAGTGGCACAGCAGTCACCCGCAGCAAGACTCGCCGCGGGGTAAAGGTGCTGCCTGCGCGAGTTGTTCCTGCTGCTGCTGCAGGCTGTCTGCGTGTCTCCCCCGCTCGCATGCAGCTCGCAGCAGGGGACACGAGAACAGGGGCTGTGGAAGGCTACCTTAGCATTCTTTTGGGCTGCTTGGGGAGCCACGACAGTGTTCAATGCAGCGGCGTTAAGCTGTGGGCTCAACGCCTTGAGCGTGCACCGCCGCTCCCCTGCGCTGCTGCGACGAGCCAAACCCTCAGGCTTTAAACGCAGAGCCTCAGCAGCCAAAATGACTCTACGCTGAAGGGGAGCTTCAGTGTAGAGCTCTAAGCCCGAGACCCTGAACCCTGATTGCCCAGACCTTCCGGTGACGCGGTGGTACACAGCCCCAAGGGGGGTTCGTTGCCAAATGACAGAGGGTACAGGGATTTAGGAGAGTCTCTGGGTCGGGTTGTATCTTTTAAATATCTAGAAACGTTGACGAAGGGTAAGAAAACTGCAGTCTTGTGTGAGTACATATCAATTCTGCAGCTGCAGCAGCAGCAGCCAGCCAGCCTGCAGCAGCAGCTGCGGCATTGCGGTAGTAAATACTGCACATTACATTGCTGCGTTTCTCGTTTTAAGGTTTTCCTAGAGCAGCAGAAATCTTCAGTCTCTGCTGCTAGCAGCAGTAGCAACGGCAACACATGCAGCGGCAGAAGTGTGTTTAAATACTACAAGAATTGCAGCGTTTCCTGCCAGGCTGTTGCTGCAGCAGCAGCTGCATTCCTGCAAGGCTCTTGGGCATTCTGCCTGTAAAGTAATGTTCCCTAAACAAGAGCAGAAGGAGCAGCGGCTGGTGCAGCAGCAGCGGGAGCAGCAGGAGCAGCAGCGGGAGCGGTCCGTAGCAAGACCAGTAGAAGCCGTGGGAGGGGAAGCAGCAATAGCGGCGTTTACCCGAGCACGGCGGCATATTTTTTTTTGTAGTTAACTGCTTTTTCGAGCAGCAGCAGCAGCAGCAGCGGCAGCGCATGCTGCTTATTTGGAAGCAGTAGCCTCCGTCTGGTGCTGCACCGGCCACGCCAACTGGCCTACGAAGTCTAGTAGCAGCAGCAGCAACAGCAGCAGTAGAACCCGCCGACCTACATGAAGCAGCAGCGCCAGCAGCGGCAGGAAGGCTCCCTCTTCCCGCTGAATCCAGAATAGCAGCAGCAGCAGCAGCAGCTGCAGCGGCACCTGCTGCAGCGATTCTGGGCAGCACTTGCCAACTGCAGCACGGAACTGGGGGCAGCGAAGGCGGCGAAAGAAGCAGCAGCAGCAGCAGGACCCGCAGCAGCGATATGGACCGTGCTGCTGTGGCCGGTGGCTGCTCAGTAGCTGAAACGAGGCAAGAATCTGCAGCAGCAACAGCAGCAGCAGCATTAGGGCCACCACCGAGAGCTTCATCCAGCAAGAGGCGCATCACAGGAGCAGTAGCATCTGTTGCTGCTGCTGTTGCTTCTGTGTCGGTGGCAGCAGCAGACATGTCTCCGAGAGCTGGCCTTAGGACCACCCCCAGGCGCCGTCGTCCTCTCCGCAGCAGCAGCAGCAGCAGCACTGTAGCAGCAGTAACAGCAGCAGCAGCTGCAGCAGCAGTACCGGCTGAGCAGCTTGCAGCGAAAGTCTCCTCGCACCGTTCTGTGGACTCAGCAGCAGCAGCAGCAGCAGACTCTCCTACGCACCAGCACTTCAGCAGGGCTGCGCGAACCCGACAGCAGCAGCAGCTGCAGCAGCAACAGCTGCAGCAGCAACAGCTGCAGCAGCAGCAGCTGCAGCAGCAGCAGCTGCAGCAGCAGCAGCTGCAGCAGCAGCAGCTGCAGCAGCAGCAGCTGCAGCAGCAGCAGCTGCAGCAGCAGCAGCTGCAGCAGCAGCAGCTGCAGCAGCAGCAGCTGCAGCAACAGCAGCAGCAGAATGGCTTCGACACCACAGAAGTAGTCTACTGCGCCCTGCTCTCGGGCGCAGAGGATCTTGCCGCTTCTCCTCTTTCGGGACTAGAAGCAGCCAAGCAGCAGCAGCAAACTCCTGGTGTTGCAGAAACTGTAGCAGAAGCAGCAAATGCAGCAGAGACAGCAGCTGCTCCCGTAGCAGCAGCAGCTGTTGGCGTTGTTGCAGCAGTTGGGGGCAGCACAGTTCCGCAGCGGCTGCCAGTCTCAGCGCCAGAGACTGCAGCAAGAGCTGCTGCTCTTGGTTTTACTGCTGCCCCGTCTGCTGCTGCTGCTGCCTCCACCCAGGGCAGCAGCAGCAGCAGCAGGCGGGCACTAAGAGCAGCTAGCTCGCATTGTTTGTCCACACCAAACGACGCAGCTGCAGCAGCCGCAGTTGCAGCAGGGGCAGCAGCAGCAGCAGCAGCAGCAGCAGCAGCAGAAGGGGGTGAGGCGACCCCAACAGTCAGGACGGAGTCTGGCCGTCCTGCTGCTGCAGCAGCAGCAGCACGAAAGCGTCTTGGTGCTGCTGCAGGTCATCCAAGCCATAGTAAGAGGCACAGGAGGCAGCAGGCGGCGGAGCAGCAGCAGGGGAACGAGCCTGCTCCTGCTGCTGCTACATGTGATGATGCTGCGGCTGCAGCTGGGGCTGCAGCTGTTGCTGCTCCTGCTGCTGCTCCTGCTGCTTCTGAGGGCGACAGAGCAGAGGCACAGGCAGCAGCAAGCGTGGTGCGATTGGCCCCGCCAGAGTCAGAGTCAGCAACAGCAGCAGCAGCCCCTGCTGCTGCTGCAGAGCAGCCTGGGACAGAATCCTTACGAGATTCAAGTGGCAGCAGCAGCAGCAGCAGCAGCAGTAGCAGGGGAAGGCGCGCTGCTGCGGCTGCAGCAGCTGCTGCTTTGCAGTCCTGTGCTAAAAAACAACGAGCTGCGCCGTGTAGGTGTTCCGGCAGCACTGCCTGCTCCTGCAGCAGCTGCAGCTGCTGCTCCAGTAGCAGCAGCAGCAGCAGCAGCAACGGCGGGAGCACCAATGTGGATGCCGTTGGCCAAGTTCAGAGTAGCGATAATGTCGGCAGTAGCAGCAGCAGCAGCAGCAGCTGTGCCTCAGGTTCTTCGTCCTCTCGCATATCAGCAACAGCGGCAGCGGCTGCAGCAGCAGCAAGTGCTGCTACGGCGTTGCCTCGCAGCGTGGCCGCCGTGGAAGCGATAAGCATGCTGCAGCAGCTGTGGGTGCGGCCCGTGCTGCAGTACGCAGAGACACTGGACCCGCTGCTGCTGCCCTCGCGAGACCATTTTGCTGCTGCTTATTCTTTGGTGCAGCAATTGACGGAGACAGAGGAGACAGCCTTCCAAGTGTATTGTCTCTTCCGTATATCTCTTGCGGAGTGGGCTGCGAAGCAGCTGCGGCTCATTGTGCAGCAGCAGCAGCAGCAGCAGCAGCAGCACGCAGTGGCGGCAGCAAGAACTGCACAGCAAGTGGCGCCAGCGTCCGCAGCAGCAGCAGCAGCAGCAGTAGCTGCCGCTGCTGCTGCTGCTGCTGCAGGCAGCAGCGCACCTGGTGTCTCTTTGCCCGAGAGATGCTGCTGCGCAGATTGTCGAGTAGCTGAGAGGGACAGCAGCAAGTGCTGCCGCAGCAGCTGCCCAGCTGGCGGCGCTGCTGCTGCAGGCGATCGCGAAAGAGCTGCTATGGAGACCCGCAGGCCCCACGGCTGTTTGCGCTGCACGGGCAGGCAGCAGCAGCCGCCGCAGCAGCAGCAGCTGCAACAGCAGCAGGCGTTTCCCGTGCAGCTGCACGCTCGCCGCGTGCTGCAGCAGCCGCTGCAGCAGCACCGCGAAGACGGCCTGCTGTGCAGCTGCAGCGCCTGCGGCACTTCGCTGCTGCAGCGGCTGCTGCGCTGCTGGGAGGTGTATGGACACCTAGTTTATTGGCTTATGAGGGGTTTTTGCTATTTAGACAGATTCTTCACAGGAAGAAGAAAAGAAATAGGAGACACTCCAAACTTGCTGCTGTGTGCCTTAGCTGTTTTCCAAACCTGCGTAAGGAGGCTTCTGCTGCTGCTGCTGCTGCTCCCCGTGTGGCTGCTGCTGCTGCTTCCGTGGGGCGGGGCCTGCTTCTTTTGCTGCTGTTGTTGCTGCCTCTTGCTGCTGTTGCTGCTGCCTGTTTTGCTGCTGTTGCTGCTGCTGCTGCCGTGCCTCTATTTAGTGCTGCTGGGGCAGATAACTTGTGCTGTTTTTCAGGTGTATGCCCAAATACACAGACGAACTGTAGAGGCTCTTACTGCAACAGTTGCTGGCTACAGGCAGCAGCTGCAGCAGTCACAGCAGCAGCAGCAGCAGCAGCTGGTGCTGCTGCAGCCGCAGTACCATGGCATTGATCCTGCTTCCTTTAGAAAACTAATGCTGATGCTGTGCTGCTTGGGGGAACCCCATATTGCTGCTCTTGAGTCCTTCCCAGCAGAAGCAGCAGCAGCAGCAGGAGCGGGAGCGGAATGTTCAGCGTACAATCAAGCCGCGCAGCAGCAACCTGAGAACTCCAGGGCCCTAAGCGACAAGATTAGGAGCAGCAGCAGCAGCAGCAACAGCGGGCGCAGCAGGGCGATGCGCGTGGTACAATGGCGTCTTCTTCCTTCGCCTCAAAGTGGAGATACTTCTTCCGTGTCCGCTGCTGCCCGGCGGCAGCAGCAGACTGCCGCTGCGCAGCAGCAGCACGCTGCTGCTGCACGACAGCAGCAAACTGTTGCTGCCCGGCAGCAGCACATTACTGTGGCTCAGCGCCAATCAACTGTGACTGCTCAGTGGCAGCAAGCTGCGGCTGCTCAGCAGCACCAGCAGCTGAGTCAGCAGCAGCTGCAGGAACTGCAGCAGGGAACAGTCACAAGGGATCATCAGCAAAGGGTGGAGAGGCAGCAGCTGCGGCAGCAGCTGCAGCAGCACCTACTGCATCAACGCCACATGCAGCTGCAGCAACAGCAGCAGCACCACCAGCCAACTGGCCGTTTCTTTGACGACTTGCAGCAGTGAGTGCTGCTGCTGCTGCTTTCCTTTGTGCTGCAGTTGTCTCACGGGATATGCAGCTAATTTGTCTTGCTGCTGTTTGTCTTGCCATGTCTGCTGCTTCGCTGCCTCGTGGACAAGTCTGAGGCTACGTTTGCTTTTGCTGTGACTGCTGCTGCTGCTGCTGCTGCTTCTTGGGTGTCTCTGCAGTTCCATGCTGACGGAATCGGAGAGCTATTACTGCAGCAAGTCCAGGGAGTGGCTGCTACAGGACCTTGCCGCTGCTCCGCCAGAGGCGCAGCAGCAGCTGCTGCAGCAGCACCATCCGCAGCAGCGAATTGACTTTGCTGCTGCAGCAGACTGCGCTGCAGCAGCAGCAGCAGCAACAGCACAGCAGCAGCGACTGCATCAGCGGACGCGTACACTTGGCACGTGCTGGTTGCGGGCGTGTTGCGATTCGTCAGCAGCAGCTGCTGCTGCTGCAGCGCGAGCGGCAGCACTGCCTTCAGCAGCAGCAACAAAAGAAGAGGATGAGACAGTCACCGTGACAGTATACTGCAGCTGCGGCAGTGGCACTTGCTGCGAAGGTCACTCGAGCTCTCAGCAGCAGCAGCAGCCTCGGCAGCTGAAGCTGCGCGTATGTGAGGCGCGTTTGCTGCGTCGCCTGCAGCAGCAGCAAACAGAAGTGGGGCTGAGCTGCAGCAGCTACACAGAGCGCGTGCACATGCTGCTGTTTGGGGAGCAGCAAGTCTTCAAGCTTGCTGCCTTGTGGCCGCGACTGCAGCAGAACCTGCTGCAGAAGGCCTCAAAAATAGCAGTAATGGATTGTTTGCATTTTGTCTTGTGTGGGCCTGGGGGTCTCACGGATCTGCTGCAGCAGCACGCCTTCGTAAACGACCTCCATGCTGCGCCCTACCAGCAGGGACAGAGCCAGCAGCAGCAGCAGCAGCAGCAGCAGAGTGAACCTGTCGAGGAAACGGGGTGGGATGTGGGAGGACACGGCATCTGGGAGTGCAGCAGCAGCAGTGGCGGCGGCAGCAGCAACGCCTGCAGCAGCAGCTCCACAAGCGGCAGCAACTTGAGTTTTAGACCTAGCAGCAGCGAGTGCAACGCCAGCAGCAGCAGCAGCAGCAGTAGCAGCAGCAGCAGCAGCAGCGGTGGGGTGATAGACTTGTGTTTGCTTCTGAAGCATCGTCGGCTGCTGCTGCACTCTGTCTGGAGGCTGCTGCGGCTCTACAGGCCAACGCAGCAGCGGCAGCAAAAGCCCAGAGATCTGGTTGCTGCTCTCGTTAGAGAAGCCATCTCAGCCCGCGTTCTGCAGATCACCGAGCCGCTGCGGACTGCTGCAGCAGTACAGGCCGCAGCAGCAGCAGCAGCTGCTGCTGGATCAGCAGCGCCAGGAGCGCGAGCTGCCTCGCCTACAGAGAAGCCGCAAACACGTGGAGCAGCCAGCAGCGAAGTCGCTGCTGCTGGTGCTGCTGCTGCTGCAGGGGCACAGACAAAGGCTGCAGCCGACCCACCAAGCCGCCGTGTCACTCGCAGCATTAGCAGCAGCAGCACCAGCAGCGGCAGCAAGACTGGACTGCTGCAGCAGGACCTTCCTGCGGGCAAGAGCAGAGGACGGGGCTCTGTGCGCGTTTCTTCTGTAAAGAAGCAGCAGCAGCAGCAGACGCAGCTGGAGCAGCAACAGCAGCAGCAGCGCGAAGAGGACTGGTTGGAGGGGCCCCAGGGCGTGGCCTGCCGGCGGCTGCTGGACTTCCAGGGAGAAGTCGGGAGGCTCATAGATTTTGTTTTTAAAGGAGACGCGAGAATGGTGGAGGTAATAGGAACGGTGAGATTATTTTTAATTCTTTTTTCTTCTTGTTCTCTTTTATTTCTGCTGCTGCTGCTGCTGTTGCTGCTGCTATTTGAGTCTTTTTCTCGTATTTCCCCCCTCCAGCTCCGGCTCTTGGGGCCCCCAGCTTCGCGCTGCGGCGCTGCTGCTGCTGCTGTTGGGCCCCTTTTTTTGTTCTTTTTATTTTTCATCTATTTGTTGTCTTCCGCAGTTTTCTTCTTTTCTGCTGCTTGTCTCTTTAAAGATGCTGCTCCAGTGATGACTAGGGAATTAGAAGCAGCAAAAGATTTCCTAGCAGCTGCTGCACTTGTGGCTCTGCGTTTTCCTTTCTGCTTCTGATCCTTTGAATTTCCGCTTTTATTTATATTCTTTAGCTGATAGGTGCATCTCTTGTCTTTGTTTCTTTTTGCCTTCCTTGCTTTTCCTTTTTTCTGTCAAGTGGAGGGTTTGGCTGGAGCCCCTTTGCTACCTCTTGCTGCCTTTTGCTGCAGCTTGAGCCGCTGGGCGCAGGGCTAGGGTTTAGGCGTTTTGCAGTGCAGCTAGGGTTTAGGGTTTGCTGCTGTTTTTCAGCCCGTAAGGGTTTAGGGTTTGCTGCTGTTTTTCAGGCCATAAGGGACGCTCTCTCTCACGTTTCTTCCTTAGCAGCTTCACTCTGCCTCTACTGGGATCGGTTCCTTCCACGGCTGCAGAGATATTCACAAACCAAGAAAGTTGCGGTGCGCTGCTGCTGCTGCTGCTGCTGTTGCTGCCAGACTCTGTGCTTCTAACAGTTCGCTTGCTGGAAGGGGCGCCGCAGCTCGTGCTGCTGCAGTATCAGCAGCAGCTGCTGCAGGAGCGGCAGCAGCCACTGACATGATTGCTTGGAGTGAAGATACGCACGAGCTGCTGCAGCTATACGGGACTTAATGCAGAGCAGCAATAGGCCCGCCTTGCATTGCTGCTGCTGTGGCTGCTGCTGTGCTGCTGCAGGCCCACCTTGTCGCCTTGCTGCAGAACATGCCGGACAGAGCTGGCTTCCTTGAGGCTTACAGGGTAACTTTGCTGTAGTGGCGGCTGCTGCTGCTGGTTGGCTATTATTTTTTGTGCTGCTGCTCTCCTCGATTACAGCGGCAGCAGCAGCACCAACAGCAACGCGAGGAGCAGCTGCAGCGGCAGCAGCTCGCACCTCTTTGCTCGGTTGTTGGTGCTGCGCCGTCAGTCCAGGAGAGCTGCTGCTGCTGCTGCCGTTAATGCTGCAGCTTTTTTCGTGCATTGGGTTTCTGCTGCAGAGACACCTGGGAGATAGACTGCTGCTGCGCGGCTGCAGGGGGATAGAGCAGGAGAAGCTGATTGCAGATCTTCTCGAGGTGTGCACCTGCAGCAGCTGCTAGAGCTCTCTTCTTGCTGCTGTGCTGCTGCTGCTGCTGCACCGGGGCTGCTGCAGCGCTCCCTGCTCAGCTGCTGCTGAGCTCATTTGTTTCCATTTCGGCACTTTGAAGTTCATACTTGGTTTTCCTCCCCTGTGCCTCACTCCCATCCAGAGTTTATTCCATTTATTTTATTCTTTTTTTTTTCTGTCTTTCTGCAGAGGCACGCAGGGGCGGACCTGCAAGCGACAGTGCGCATTGCTGCAATGCCACGAGACATAGAAGCAAGTGCGCTGCTGTCGAGGGAGTTCCAGCAGCAGCAGCGGCAGCAGGAGCACCAGCAGCGGAAGCAGGAGCAGCAGCAGCTTGACGAGCGGCAGAGGCAGCAGACGCACCAAATGTGCATGCGGCACCTTCGAGAAACTGTGCAGATCAGCCGAGAGCAGCAGCAGCAGCAGCAGCGAGGGCGCAGCTCGCAGCGGCTGCAACAACTGCAGCTGCAGCGACAGCGGCAGCAGCACCAGAAGGAGCAGCAGCAGTTGGCTAAGCAGCACCAGCAGGAGCAGCAGGAACACAACTCCCAGAGGGAACAGCAGGCGCAGCAGCAGCGACTGCAGCAAGAGCTGCTGCTACAGCAGCTAGATGATGCCGACGAGACGCCCGAGTTGCTGCGGCTCCCGTATCCGCAGCAGCAGTTCAGCGCGCTCATTCTGCGCTGGAACTGCTGGGCTGTGGAGGAGAGGCAAAGAGACTTAAGAAACAGCACGCAGCTGCTGCTGCCCCCGCAGCTTTCCCAGCCCATAGTGTCTTTCACTGCTTTCTACACTGGCAAGTACTCCAGCAGGGTTTTGGCGTGGCAGATGCACTGCAGCAGAGTGACATTCGCAACATCTCTGTACACCCCAGCAACAGCAGCAACAGCAGCAGCTGCTGCGGCCGCTGTTGCAGTCAGCGAGGAAAACAGCAGCAACTGCATCAGAAGGCAAAGCCAGCGGCTCCAGCCTCCACCCTCGCAGGCGGCTCGTAGCTGCAGCAGCAGCAGCAGCTGCAGCAGGAACAGCAGCAAGAACCCCAGCAGCAGCAATGCTTGCATCAAAAGCCCCACAGCCACTAGCTCAGGGCCTCTTGTGACGCTGCTAGAGACTGACCCATATGCTGCTACGATCCTGCTGCTATTCAATGATGAGTAAGTGCTTCCACTGCTGCTGCTGGTCTGTTTTCCTGCTGCTCGTTGCTGCTTTGCTGCTGCACTGGAAGCACTTTGCGCCACTGTTTGTGCTGCAGCGCGAGAGCAGCAAGGGGCATTTCTCTAGAAGAAATAGAGGCGGAGACGAAATTTCGACCTGCAGAGATTACTGAAGCAGCAGCATCGCTGCTGCGGCCTCTCCCACTGCTGATGCTGTGTCCTCCAGGGCATTTGCAGGGGCAAGCAGAGGAGCAGGAGCAGCGGAGAGGGCAGCAGCAGCAGCAGCAGCAACATGAAGAAGATGGCAGGGACCGCAAGGCATTTGCTGATGATCTGGAGGCCAAACTTGCTGGTGGTTGGTTGCTGCGGGTGAACGAGACCTTCTGCAGCAGCAGCGACAGCAGCAGCAGCAGTAGCAGCAAGTGGCAGTACATCCGCTGCTGTCCTGCGCTATCTTTGGCTGCCATTGCTGAAGCAAAGCAGCAAAAGAAGGAGACGAAGGTACAGAGCAAGAAGGAAGAGGCGCCCACGTCAGCAGCAGATAAGAAAATCCTGCTGGAGGCAGCTCTTGTGCGAATTCTGAAGGTACTTCACAGCTACGGAGCAACAAATAAGTTTCAAAAGCTGCATAATTAGTGCAGAAAAGCCTCAGCAATGAAGGCTGCAGTAGGATTGCGATCTAGCGCTGCTTCCTGTAGGGCTTAATGCGTAACTGGAGGAAGACACGGTTGAGAGCCAGCAATTGTGCTGCTGCTGCTGCGCTACTGCTGCTGCTTTTACTTGTGCCTCTGTGTGTTTGCTTTTATGCCGTTTGTTCTTGCATTTCAACAGCTAGAGCGCCTGCGTGTGCTGCTGCTGCTGCAGCGTGAGGGCTCGGCCGACGACGCAGCGCTGGCTGCTGCAGTTCTGGGACCAACAAGGACAGCAGCAGCTGAGGAGCAGCTGCAGCAAGCTTTAGGTTCTCTTGTGGAGAGGGAGTTTTTGCGAAGGGACGAGGAAAATCCGTAAGCTTAGTCTTTGTTGGTGCTGCTGCTGCCGTTGCTGCTCTTGCTGCTGCTGCTGCTGCTGCACACTACGCAGTGGCAATAACGTTGAGATCAGCGAGGATTTACTTCCCTTGTCTACCTACTGCATTCAGGAGGGTCTTCCACTACGTCCCATAGCAGTCAACTGTAGGCTGCTGCTGCACAATTGGCAACTGCAGCAACAGCGACAGCAGCGGCGAGTGCTACTGCTGCCGTTGCTGTTCTTGTACTCCGCAAAATAGCAGCAGCTGAGGCAGCAGACGCTGCAGCCAGAGATGCAGCGGCAGCAGCTGTTGTTTCTTTGGCCGTTACCAGATTTTCGCTGGTAAGTGCAGCAGCTCCAATTGCAGCAGCAGCAGCTGCTGCAGCCGGATTTGTGGGGTGTCGGGGGGCATGGAGAGGATCCAGCCACTGAGCCTCGCCGCACTGTTGTCTTTGATTTTAATTAATTTCCAACAGCGTCCGCGTATCATTGGCTACACCCGCAGCACTGCTGCAGCAATATCTAGTGAGGCAGCTGCAGCAGCAGCGTTGGCCCCCCAGTAGCACTAGCAGCAGCAACAGCCCTAGCAACAGCAGCTACTGCAAAACTCGCCCGTCGCTATAGTGGGCTGCATGCATCGCAATTATAATTAGTTTTCTGTCTCTCCCCAACAATGCAGCCGTGAACTGCCAGTCCCGAGTAAACCGCATGATGCTTATCTGCATCCATGCAAGCTGCGGGCCTGCACGCGCATGCGCGCTTGCATGCACTGAGGAATTCAAAGGAAGCGCATGCAGTGTCATATGCGCGCGTTGTTCGTGCATGCATTTGCTGGGTCTCCTTCTTTGGCCAGACTTCGATGGGCTCTTGAGTTGAACAATCTTCCTGTTTTGTCTGTCTTCCGCTCTACTGTTCCTCCTCTGCCTGCTCCCTGTTGGCTTCGTTTGCTTCTTCTCTCTCCTCTTCATCCTCTGGGCGCGAGTAAAGGCGCATCATCGGTTTCGTTGGGTCCTTTAGCAGCACGTATCTGCGCAGCCACCGCCACCCTTGCATGCATGCCGCATTGAGCGCATGCACAACAAACATTGCGGCTGCTGCTGTTTACTTGTTTTCAACTTCTCACCTGCCGTCAGGCTTGTCTTCGAGCAGATCGAGCACAGCCCTCACAATACCCCAGGCGTTTTCCGGCCGGAGACCAATTTGCCTTCCCAGGTCTCTTGTCTGATAATTGTGCACCGTCAGAATTAAGTGCTGCTCTGTAATGCGAAAAGAACAAAAACAACACTGACTGCGATAATGAATAACGAAAAATGGGGAGGCAAAGCCGGAAACCAATGAAATGGTATACAACTGCGGCAAGCGCCTTCACAGAAGTCAATACAAAAGCGGCAACATGCAGAAGAAGCACCAGTCGCAAGAAACGAAAAATAGAACTGAAACAAGAGAACGAAACAGTGCCAAACTGAGAACAGAGTCCGCAATCGGAACGATTGAGCAAACGAAGGAAACCTCCAACCCAATTCTTTCTCACCATTGTCGTTGGGCGTCTTCCTGGCGACAAAGCCAAGTCGAAGTTCATCACAACCGGCAATCATTGCTGAGGTTACAAACTTTCTCAATTTGCAGGCGTTATTGCGAACCTCCGTGGCCAAAAGAGCACCACGCTGGCTCTCTAAGAGAGTGCGCCAGTTCTTCTGCCCTGCACCCCAGCATACACCGCAACGAATCGGAATTGGGCAGCAAAGCCAGATTTCCTACAAGGCAAAGAGAAATCATGAGGAGATGAACAACCGAAAAAGGCGATCAGCATGCAAAAATGAATACGTATGGAAATAAATCAACATGCGTCTCGTTCGGTTTCGTATCAGCCGTAGCGCCAGCTCGGAATGAACAAGCAAACACATACTATTCGAGAAGATAGTTATGGATACTCAAAATAGTACTGGTACCGATAGTAAACAGAAACGCTAAGGGAGGACAATTTACTGCAACAGCCCCCACGCAGTGAAGAAAGCCAGCCGACGAATACATCTTGAACAGCAATAACAAAGCCGCACAAGAAATCAAATGAGCACTGAACATGCACACATAAACAGCTGGAAAGCAATCAGTAAGCAAAATAAGGTGCCTTTACGCCTAATTTTGTAAGGCGCAGGGCTAGATGAACCCGGAGTGTCCAACGAGCGACCGCGCATCCAAACGAACAATAAGTTAAGGAATCGACATGCAAAAAATATGAAAAAAGCAGTCAAACACGCTCTCACCTTTTGGCTCTATCTCGTTAAGAGCACAAGTATAAATGTACCCTCCTCCATCCACAATGAAGTTGTCACCCTCTCTCGCTTCCTTCAGGTCCGCGCGCGCCATTGGAGACTTGGCGTAGACCTCAGCCCTGCATGCAGAGCCAAAGGGAAAGCACACATATAGTTGCAGGATGCAGGTATTACAGACGAAAGTGACCGCTGGGAGCACGACATAGGAAACTGATGTCGAAAGACACCAATGCAGACGGAAATGAAAAGGCAGATAAAGACGCTGAGACCCAACTAATGAGAGGCAGCAACAGAGCGGCAAAAAGCTGAAGAAAAAGGGGGAATGAACAGCAACACAAGGAAAACGGAGGCGAAATGCAAGAGGTCCGGCGTGAACCAGATGGGGCGAGCTGATGGGCGTAAATGGACAAAAAAAGAGCGCGCGACATAAAAAAGAGATGCAAAAGCAAAAAAAGAGTAACAAACCTTGTAAGGATGTTGATGGGGCGGCGAGAGGCGTTTGGTCCGGCGCGAGGAGGAATGGTGAAGAGGCGGTATCTGAGATGAGAGACAGGAACATCCGTTGATTCGCTTATTGCACAGTAGCCCATTCTCGTTATTATTACAATTATTCTTTAACTAATTCGTGGCGAAAAATACATGAAGGACGGCAAAAACAAGGCGAAGACCCGCGCGCAGATCAGCAGGCAACAAAACGCAGAAGCGCAAGAGAGTAACGGTGCAAACAAACACGCGAAAAAGCATGCACCAGACAGACAGAAAAAGAAGAGCAAATGGGAAAACAAACAGCAGCACCTCTTGCGTGAGATGCCTGCGGTAGACATATATATGGAACAATGGAATAGCTCTCCAACACAACAAACCCTCTGAATAGAAGCAACTGAACCCAGTAGTTTCCGCAATCGGCTCCAGCACTTCATTCTCACCTATAAGCAATGGTCGCGGGAGTATCCCCACTCTCTACGAACGGGGCAGGCGGATACTCAGCAGCAACTTCGCCGGGCACCAAGAGCTGCTGTCTCAAATTCTGGTTGATACGGACAGCCTCAAACCCTAGAGCTGCTGGGCGATTTAGGCGGTTCTGAACGCAAATGTTACACCCTAAACCGTATGCGTTAACCCCTTAACCAGCGCAATAATGCCATCTTCAGTTACTGCGCAAGTTCTGAAACCCTAGCGCCACTCGAACTTGGGCAGTCCTATCATAGACAAACCCTGCAAGCTCTACACACAAACCCGACAGGCTCTACAAACAACCTTTTAGTCCTAAAGGGCTAACCCTTGACCATACTCCATAGTCCTTTACAAATCTGTGGCCCTCGCTGCATCGCTTAAGAATCTGCGGCGCCCTCTACACTCTCCAAAATGCGAAACTCTAAACCCTAGACTCAACTCTCACCTCTGCGTCCTGCATAGGGGGCTCAATGCTCGTTTCGTTGACGGTGAGCAGATCCACAATGGATCCGTTGGCCTTGTCGATAATGATTTTCCCGTCAATCTTGGTCAGGTAAAGATGCCACGAATACTTGGACTGAGGCGCCGCCATAAGGCAAGCCAGTACCTGGTCGGTTGCTGCAACATCAACCTGCTTGCTGCCGTTTAGCATATAATCCTGCAGTTCATAAGCGCAAATAATCAAAGAAAACGCTTCACAAACGATCTAAGTCTACAAATTGTTACAGGAGGTGAAAGTGAGGAACGGGGGATGTACTTATTTGACCGACGGCAGAAAATTGCTCGCCCGCAGGACGGCAGCAGCAGCAGCAATAACAGCAGCAGCACAAAGCGCAAATGCTGCAGGAGCAGCAGCCTCAAGCCCCCCAACCATTGCAGCAAAAGACAAGCCCAGCAATTTTCAATAGCGGCACAAGCAGCAACAGCAGACGCAGCACCAATAACACCTATCACCAGCTGCGGCTCCACCCCAACATTCCACCAACCCAATCCCCAGCAGCAGCAGCAGCAGCAAAAGCAGCAGCAAATCTGACCCTGATGACTTCGTCATCTTGTGTGGTGACCCAGTAGTAGTAGAAGTTGCTGCTGAGGTTTTGCATTGGCACCGGCAGTTTGCTGGAAATCTTGTCAGCTTGCCGCGAGTAGACACCCAAGGTGCCGCGCCATTCCAAATCCTCAACAGTAACACGTGCTGCACGAAACAAAACAAGAGAATAAATGAATAATGAACAAACGACTAATAACCGCTCATGAATAAAGAACAAAAAACACTGTAGGAGTGGCAAAAGAAACTCGATACTAGCAAAGACATCCAGCTGCGCATTCTGCCGTTAGGAAAAATATACACAGCTCCAAACAAGCAAAAACCGCTGCTGCTTCTGTTGTTGCTCCTGCTGTTGCTGTTGCTCTCGCTCCTGCTGTTGCTCCTGCTGCTGGCGGAACCATTCCCAGCCTGCCCAACCCCTAGAACCCGTTCCAAAAGGGAAAGCTAGAAAAGACAGAGCCAACTGAGCTGTACCAGCCCCCAGTAATGGAACTCCCAATGCCAGGAATATGAAGACTAGAACCACGTGAACTGAAGCTGCACTTACGAGTTTCAATCTGCTGCTTGTGCAGCTGCTGCAGCGGCAGCTCCGCCAGAACCTGCCAGTCGTTGGTGGGCTGAATGGACCATTCAGAGAAGGCGCGGTGGCGCGCGTGGATGCGGGCGTATCTTGCCTGAGAGAAAAACATCAAGAAGTTGAATTTGACGAAATTATATTCAATTTCTGA